CACGAACCACGTCTGGCTCTGTCACGGGGCCGGCAAGCTGCCAGGCAGGGATCTACAACTGATTTCAAGATCCAAGGGCAGACTGGATCTTGAAATCAGTTGGGCAGCCTGGCCGCCCTTGTCTGCCTCCCAGCTCTCTCCTCCGTTTGCTTCTCCCAAGCACTGAAGTAGCGTCATGCAGTTTCCTACAGTGCTGTCATCTCTGGGCGCTCGGCCTTGCCTGCATCCTCTGGAGTGTGCAGCTGTGTCCAGGCTGCTGCGGGAGACGTGGAAAAGCGCTGCTAAGCCCTGTGTTTAAAATCACAAATGCTGCTTAATCTTGCTACGTGTCACAGTAAAGGGCTCTTTGTAAAGAGCAAAGTAGGCATTTGGAGCAGCACACCCTGAAGCCTCCAGCACTGGAGGAACCTGAAGCCCTTTGGTAGCCTCGGGAGGCACTAACGGTTTGTGTTGCCCTCTTCTTTTAGTGCTGTTCCCCCGTCACACCAATGCTGCTGCCAGAGACAACACCATAAACCTGATCCACACATTCCGGGACTACCTGCACTATCACATCAAGTGCTCAAAGGTACTGAGGGGACGGGGCTGGGGGATACAGGGTAGCTTTGGCCCCTCTAACCTGGGTGCTGCAGGGGAGGAGCACAGGGCAGGGGTGCCCCCCTGAGGTCTGGCATTGCCCTCCCTAGTCATGCAGGGGTGGCAAGTGATGCATCGTCACCTTTTCCCTGCTCTTTGGTGCAGGCAGCACCTGTTTGCTTCCCATCCTAGCAGCAAAGTAGGATTTTCCCCCTTTGGATCTGGTTTCCTTTCTTTCTGGCAATAGAAATGAGGGTAATTGTTCAGAGAGACCTGGCTTTGACCAGGGCTCAGGCAGCAATTTTCACTGTTGCCTCCTGAACTCCCCTCACAGCACCGTGGCTGTGCAGAGCTAGGTGCTTTCCCAACAAGGAGCACAAGATAGCTCCTACCCCGTGTCCTGACATCTCAGCTATGAAGACAGGATCCTGACGTGTCCCCATTTTGTCCTAATGAAACGCAGGCCTATATTCACACACGTATGAGGGCGAAA